TTCGATTTTATCTTAGGATAGAAAATAATATTAGATCAATTTCTACCATTAAAATTTACAAAAAAAAACTCAATTCAATTTGTAAATTCTGTTTTTATCAATGGGCAATAATGAATTATTTTTAAATGTGAGAAAACTGTAATTCCTAATATTATCAATACTAATAATACGTATGCATTAATTGCACCGACAAGTCTACATGTCAATTTTCTTAGAAATCTATCGTCACTCCAGAAAATGAAAAGAAATTACTAAAAAATTCCTGAGATCGTCACTTAACTCGCTCTCGGCTTTAACACTTCAAATATTATCCTTTTAATATAACCACAAGTGTAAACGCGCACACACAAGCGCACAAAAGGAATAATATTTGATTTATTTATACATTGTTTAAACATTTCATAGCTCATTTGTTTATTTAAATACAAATAGTCAAAACCTTTTGTGCCTGTCCTTTATTTGCTTTATTATATCGTCTTTAATCTTTTATTTGATCAGCGTTTTTCTTTGTTTTTCAATCGACAGACAGGTGTTGCCTGCGTGGGACATAAATGTATGTCGAAGTTGTAAATTCTACTGATATCATGGAATCGGTATTTAACGATAATTAGTATTGAAATGGAAATTGAGTAACAAGAGCGCGCACCTATGTTTATGATATGATGACTTTTTTACAACGTTTACAATGAATAATTTGTAATCGTCAGTTCTCGATAAAATGCATTCAGGAACTGATTATATACACTTGTAAATTGACTCAGGATCTTAACAAAAACAATATAATTATGAGTAGTAATAATTGAGCAAAGAACATGAACATGAAAGAGCTGTGGCAATATGACAAGCCATAGTAATAAAGAAGTTCAATATAGTTTTTTTTTTTAATTTTATGACAAAGTTGTGAAAATTCAAAAGACAGAAATAAGAATAAATTAACAAAAGAAAATCCACCGTAATAATCTGCTAAGTGTTTTTTGCACAGTTTGTATTTAATGACCTTAACAAAGTATCCCAAAAGATGTGATGGTCATCTCATTGGCGTTAAGCTGACAACGCGCCATACAACTTACAACCCGTTCAGTTTTCCTACACGCTGAATCAATATTGAGAACTGCCATTACTCTCGTCATATAAAGTGGACTTCGGTGTTTTTGTTAAATAAACACACACATAACATATTCATTCTTTATGTTTAAAAACTCGTACACTATTTTAAGATTTCAAGCAGGTATATCGCTCAGAGTTCGCGAAACGTCAATATTTATTTACGTATCTTTATCAATATATTTCATAAACCCGGTTTGACTGCTCATAATTGACTCATTTTTTCATTCTCTGATGTGTTTGTATTTTTAATATATTTGTAAAAATTATGTTTGACCAACTATTTAAGTGTTATTGCTATCACTATGCAAATTGTTATGTGTTTCGTAACTGAATAATGTTTATTCAACCATCATGCAAATATAACGGCGCAGATGCTCAGTTTCGCGCATTTAGTATGCTAAAATATTAATCAAATACAACTTCTGTTTTAAACAATGAATTGTAAATAACATGTTATAAGTATAATTTAAGTGATACTTGGTAAAATAATAGTAACTTTCTTTAGAAAATTAACGACTCTATAAATAGATTTATAATAGAATTATAAAAAATAAAAAAATACAATGATATTTTATATAATTTTTTATATACAAAAATAATGTCATTATCTAAGTGGATATTTTACTTTAATTATTTAAACTCGTAAATAAAATTTATAACACACTCTATACGTCATTTCTCTGGAAAGATGAAAGTATACACACACATATAAATATATATATATATATATATATATATATATCTGCATGTGTGTTTGTATGAATTTATGATTTTCAATAACTAATTGCATTTTCCCAGGGGAATAGCGAAAGCTGGCGAACCAAACAATAAAGCTCCTCTGTCGCCCGGAATGATGTACATGGATCCCGCCATCCACGCGACTCTGCGCCGGAAGCAGAGACGCCTGGCGCGGGACAATCCTGGTGTCCTGGTCGCAGTGGCTCAAGGAGCCAGCCTTGCCGTGCAAGAATGTCAACATCAGTTCCGGGACAGACGATGGAATTGTACGACCAGAAATTTTTTAAGGGGCAAAAACTTATTCGGAAAGATCGTAGATAGAGGTGAGTGGGTGAAATTTTACTTACTACAAACATAACGTCCAGCTGCTGTAAAGCTTATTAGATTTTAGTGTTAATAGCTTTATTTGCTATCTGATTCAATTTATTCAATTATAATACTCAATTAAATTTATCGAATCTAAATAAACTTGGAATATTCAATACAAAAAATTGAATGGTGTCTTATTAATATATCAATAGCGCTGAAGCTATAAATCTTTCACCTAGCAAGCA